AGAACTACCATGAGCTTAATTTAGCACCAAAAACATTAGACACCGGAAAACTAATAGTTCTATAGAAGCTTTATATAGAATATTCAGACAATGGAAGAATAAAAGTAAATGGAAATACTAACTCCGTACCTGGATCCATGGTTCCAAGCTTTGTAAATGAAGTTCTGCATTATCATGTAAGGCATCCCAAGCAACCTTATCAATCTGCATCAATATTATTCCATATTAACAATATTCAGCTAGCTCAGTAACGCTGACTACCATAAGAATACCTAATATTTAAATGAAAACAAATCAATTCTTACGCGGTCAAGCTGCAACTTGCTATAATGTTCAGGGAACTTCTTTGAGAGTAACAAGCAAATTCTTGGATGGTTAGGAAACACACCGGCTTTCCAAAATGCTTCTGAAAATACATGGCCAACTGGATCCGGGTAATCCAAAATTTGGTTCAACCTATATATTTTAGCCATAAGACCTTCTGCCACTTCAATTAGTTGAACTACCCACTGCATGTTCAATCCTTTGTGGGACCCGCCTGAACTATGGACATCAGGACCTGCATTCCTGGAGCTCCTCAAACTCATTGGAGAAGTTGTTTCTGGACCCAAGTACTCAGTCCATCTTGATGGACCCTCCCATTCTCGTGATCTCACTGAAGTCGGTGACAGTGAGGAATCTTGGCTAGAGAAATGTTGTCTCGATCTTGCCATTGGTAAGTAATCAAGACAATTCTGCATTTAGTCAAGATACTATAAGAGTAAGCAAGGATTTAAATTTGATATCAATGTTAAATTAGTCAGAAAAACTAAGAAAACATTAGATATAATCATAGAATGCATTGAAAATAACTAAATTTAATACATTTGAGATTAATTTGAAATTACTATATGCAAGAAACCATCTGAAGTTCTGGTAATAAACTATTTCCTTCTAGAAAAACTGGCCGGGAAAGACCTCCAATGAATTGAGTTTGAACTAGTAAATTAGTAAAATTAGAGAAC